TCTCGTCAATCCTCTCACTCACTTTGTCACGTACAATGTCTGATCGCCCCTGATCCACTTGCTGCTCCACACTCACATCCACCCTCTGCTCCACCCTCTGCCCCACCCTCTGCTCCACCCTCTGCCCCACCCTCTGCTCCACCCTATGATCTGCAATAAGGGGAGCATATGGATGTACCCTTTGGTCCGCCCTTTGTTCCACTGTTGTGGCGAAACCTTCCCCCACACACTGCTCTGCAGTCTGCACCACCATTGGTCAAACGTCGTCCTTGTCCCTTGGGTGTGCATTCTCGTACAATCTACGGTCTGTGTTGTCAACCACCCTCTGCTCAACCCTCTGCCCCATCGATTCCTCTTCAACCACGTCCACCCTCTGATCCACCGTCTGCACAACACTCTGCGTGACCCCCGGACGCCCTGCGACCTGCTCAACCACCTGCTGCATCCCCTCCCTGTGCTGTGCCCTGTGCTCCACTGGTTGATCTTCCCTCTCGTCCATGCTATCATTATGCCTTTGCTCTGCCCTGTGCATCGCAGCACGGTGTACTGTACCCTATGAAGACCCTCCAGTACGTCGACGGGGCAAGCAGGGGAACCTAACATGGCAGAAGCATGCTCCTCCAGACCTCTGGAATCGACGGCAGTTAGGGATGCAAAACGGGAGGATGAGGGATGATTGACGCATTGTGATGCTGTGGCGCCTGATGACCCTATCTCTGCCACCCGTGGCTATGAAGTCGACGCAAGGATATCGTCGTGGCGGCGCTCAATGTCCTCCTCTGCCACCTCTACATCGTCTGTCACCAATAGACCCTCGACATTGACGTGGCCTCCCACCCTGCTCCGGAGGGTCGTCACCGCCTGGAAACTGCCGTCGACATACGAGTCGAGGTTCGTGTGAGGGTCCAATGTCGCCCAATCGTCGAAAATATCGTGCTGGTCTTTTGCAACCGCCTTCCCTCTGCCCTGATCCGTCTGCGCTTGCTCCATCATCTCGCGGTGCATCCACACTGCATCCTGCCATGGGGACATTGCATGTGCCATACGAACGCCTGCCGATACAGACGTGATCCGGTTACGACCGTCCTTGCGATGGTTAACCTGATCCGTGACCTCCCAGTCATCCTCGCCCACATCTGCGGGGATGACATATGTGTCGTCGATCTCCTCTGGGGCGTCCTCTACCATTTTTGCCCACACGTCAATATAACGACTCTTCGACAGCCTGCTGATATTGAGAAGCTACATGCTCCAGTGAATGAACACAAGTCTCTCAACACTCTTAGCGGAGAGGTTGTTGCACCTCTTCGTGTGTATGAAGTCGTGAGTCGCCCAGTTGCGCTCGCAAGGAGTTGTTGTCGATGACATGCCAAGCACCTTCTTTGCGATGGCTTGCAACTTTGGGAAACGGTGGCCATGCAGCTCCCACCACAATGTCGGGTGCATGGTCTTCGATGCTGCATCCCGAGTGGCGTACTGGTCCCACCAGTGAGGTCCACGCTCCGGCCAGTACCGCGGATCGTCAGAATGGAAATTTCATAAAGCCTCCCAGCGGTTGTGCATCTCCTCCGCCCCCCAGTCCCTGCCCAAAGTGCGAGCAAAGTGGTCAAGCGCGCTCTGCACAACAGGGGCCGACCGATCCCTTAACAACGACATGTCGCGCCGACGAGGATCCAATAAATAAGCCGCGACATGGGCAGGTTGACGCATCATCGCGCACCTGTTGCCACAATCTCCGTGACAGACGCCCTTTGGTGGCCGTCCAGCTGCAGAGCGTTAATCTCCCTGTGGAGGATTGATTGCAGATCCCACAAACCTGGCGGTGACGACCCATCGCGGTCCATGTCCCTAAGGAAATCATAACACGACTCCATCACGTCCATCACTCTCTTCAATTGCTGCCACCATGCATCAGATTTGCGCACCCTGCGGACCTCCGGCTCATCAGTCCGTGCGTTGCCAGTCCATCGTGCACGTCTCCACTTATCTGACGACACCACCTCATCAAGCACGAACCTCTGCGCCCACAGCCTCTCCAGCATCATGAAAGCAATCCCAAACCGAGTATATGCTGGTCGCCTGAGGTCCAGCGCATGCTCCGTGCCTCGGTGCAGTGCGAGCGCCTTCTGTTTGTTTCTCATGAACTTGATTATCTTGTGCACCCACTGCATGACTACTATTGCCCAAGGCTGTGCAGCAATGTCCTTCAGCAGTAAGCTCAGGCAATGTGCTGCGCAGGGATCCAAGGAATGCGTGCAATGGCGGGGTCTGGGTGGGACTGCAAAACGCTGGCCGCTGACTTCATCACCTCCGCATTGTCAGTGCAAATCGCGTTGACGTTCTCGAGCCCAATGTCATCTCGTATGACACTCTCCCATATCTCCACCAAACTGATGCCTATCTTGTCCCGGTTTGACATGTCGATGGTACGAATGAGGACTGGTCCAGACTGCCCTGTTGGGATGAAGTTCTAGATGGGTTTGTTCCTCTGGTCCGTCGCCCCGTCCGTCATCAACGTGCATCCGGTGTCCTTCCACTTTGCCTAATTAGGGGCAATAAGTGTCGCGACCTGGTGGTAGATAATGTCCAGCATCCTTGTCTTGACTCCCTTGTATGTCAGCAGCCGTGGCACCGGCACAATGGAGGGATGCAGGAGAGTATCCTGTCTCCTTCAACCACAGCCAGTTGAAGGGAACACCGCCTCGATACATGGCTAGTGCCAAGAGACAATCGAGATTTTTCTGCACCTTGTTCCCTAAGAAAGGATCCGAGGTCAACTGTGTCGCTCTGAACGCCACACGTGTGGATGCAACCTGCGTGCTAGGAGTTGCTCTGCCCCCCCCCCCCCCCCCAATCACCCCCAGCCGTCATATTGACAAGTGACAGCAATGGGTCGCGTCCATCATCTGCATGACGTTTGTGCACAGGCAGCTCCTCTGCACGATCCACGCTGTCAGCACCTCAACACCTCCGCCCTGCCTAGTGGCAGGGACTTGTGTATGTCTCCGAGGTTCATCCGACTCGACAGCGCCCTCACCTCCGTACATATCATCCATAGCCAGCGTCCCCTCCAAGGCATCAACATGCTCTGCGGCTAATCTCTATGAAAGCGGGTCCCTGAGCATTACTCCTGATCGCTTCAATCGCCACAAGATCTCTTCAGTTCGCCGTGGGCAGTGTGCCTTTTGTTTTGTGAAGTGCTCTACTCCCCTGGACCTGGAACCGGGAAAGAGACCGATTGGGATCTTCGATTGGTTGATTGCTTGGTTGACTGATTGATTGAGTGAGTGAGTGAGTGATTGATCGGCTTAGGAAAAAAAAAAACAAAAAAAAAAGCAGAGGAGCCTGATGAGGAGTAGGGCGCGACGATGGAGAACGTGGCCTCTTCTTCTTCTTCTTCCGCCTCCTCCATCGTCGCGGCCTCCTCCTCCACCTCCTCCTCCTCATCCATCGTCGGCCCCTCCTCCTCTTCTTCCTCGTCCTCCTCTTCTTCCTTGGCCTCTTTCCACTCCTCGCCCTCCTACTCGTCCTCTTTTCCTTCTTCCTCTAAGTTCTCTCCCTCCTCCACCTCCATCGTCGGGGCCTCCTCCTCCTCATCCTTCGTCATTGTCTTCCTCTTCACTCTCTTCTTCTTCGTCCTCCTCCTCCTCGCCTCCTTCTCCTCCTCCATCGTCCTCCTTCTCCTTCTCCTCCTCCTCCTCCTCCTCCTCCTCCTCCTCCTCCTCCTCCTTCGTCGTCGTCCTGCTCCTTCGTCGTTCGTCCTCCTCCTCGCCCTCTTCTTCTTCTTCCTCCTCATTCCGCCAGTCCTTGTCCAGGCTGTCCCCAAACTCGTCGTTGTCCGGCCCATCGTCGCCGATTCGGTAACGGCGTCCTCCTACACCCTTTTTTTTTTTTTTTTTTCGGTCTATGATCCAATCAATCAATCAATCTATCAATCGAAGATCCCATCGAATCGATTGATTCGATAGGATCTTGATATGTCAAGATCCTATCGAATCAATCGATTCGATGGGATCTTCGATCAATTGATTGTGCAAGGAACCCGACTGTTCACCACTTGCTGGAGTGCTTCAGATCACATGCATAAACACAGATTTCACAGATTGCGATATCTCACTCATAGCTCAATGGAAAACGAATGAGAACCAGGAAGCTCAACTCAAAACATCATAACCAGATTAGGAGAGGGAAACGTGTGTCCAAAAATGTATAGCACTGAACAGAGTTACAAGTCCTCTTCAATCAATTACGAGTTTCAAGCCTGGCGCTCATCAGCGCCAACTGCCAATCATCATCAACAGCGCTCAGCAGGTAAGTGTCACCATAGCTCACCCGTCCCCCTCTTTTGTCTGCTTTCTTCTCTCTCTCCCCCTCCTTATCTGTAGTCCTGGTTTACTCACACTCGTCATGCATGCACAATCCCTATCACACAAGGATCTTCTCTGAATACTACCCACTGGTACTCCTACTACTAACCCTTCTACTGCTACTAACTTCTGCTGGCGCAGCTATGGCTGCTTCTCTCAGCCAGCGCCCAGCTCCCTTCTTCTTTCTTAGTGCAGCTCTCTAGCCTGCGCAGTTCACTAGCATTCTGGCGCACAAGTGCCTCAGCACTTCCACACTCTCATGCCCATGAGAATCTGCCCAAAATGGGAGGCTGGCCAGGTCCTTTATACGATTGGACTGACTGAATGAGGTCTGCGTCCAGCCTCCCTTCACTTGGGATTCTTACCCAGTACCTGCTGCTGCAAAATGTGTGTCCCAGTACCCTGTCCCATGGTCTGCTGCTGCTGTGGCCGTCGGGCCTGTCTTTTGGACTCCTGGACTGAATCAGACATGACCCTGGAAACTGTGACTGGCCTGGGACTGTGACCTTTGACTTACTATTGAACAGACTTGACCTTGTCTTTAGCACTTTGCCTGTTTGTCCAGGACCTGACTGTGACTTTCCACTTGACTTTTCCTTTTCATTTGGATGCGACCTTTGCCTCAGAGTACTTGTCTTTTGGAATGTTACACGTGAAATTGAGTTCTGGCCGTCGGGTCCCACTATGCTGAGGTACTCATTTGGGGTCTGAATCGTAAAGACCCTTTTAATTGATTGATCGGACCAAAAAAAAAAAAAAAAAACGCGGGGCCTCTCCTCCCCACCTTATTCTTCATGCGGGGCCTCATTCTCCGTCGTCGTGGGCTCCTCCTCCACCTCCTCCTCCTCGTCCTCCTCCATCGCTGGGCCCTCCTTTCTTCCTCCTCCGCTTCTTCCTCATCCCCTTCCCAGTCCTCCTCCTCGTCCACCTTCCTCCTCCTCGTCCACCTTCCTCCTCGTCCACCTTCCTCCTCCTCGTCCACCTTCCTCGTCCTCGTCCACCTTCCTCCTCCTCCTCCTCCTCTTCTTCTTCTTCCTCCTCTAAGTTCTCTCCCTCCTCCTCCTCCACCTCTTCTTCGCCGTCCTCCTCCTCCTCCTCCTCCTCCATCACCGGGGCCTCCGCCATCTCCTCCTCCTCCTCCACCACCTCCCCCTCCTCCC